AGTGGTGGGACGTACTCGTCCAAGCACCTTGTCCACATCATCGGGCCGCAATAATTGAAATTCATCCAATAATTCTGGACCAGACGGCAGCATTGGTGTCTCCCCAGAAACCTCTGATTAACTAGTGGTGTCCAGCTCGTGACGAATCTGAGCGATTTTCTCCCTGAAATGCCTGGCAAAGTCGTCACAGCGGGCCTAAGGATCTTCCTTAGGAGCCGGGCGAACCAGGACTTGCACCACTCGAAAAAGCTCCGCTGGACGGCATTGTGAGGAGGCAATGGAAGCGGAAAAAAACTTCTTTTTCGCCGCCTTCACCCGCAGCATAGGCCCGATAGTGGGCTCTCAAGTCTGTTCGGTCAGAATCACCCCATGATCTCCTCCACCTACGCTCCAGCCGTCTCCCAACCTGCTTCATCGCCCGCAATTCAGGTGTATACCAAGGGGAAGAGTGGGCTCTGCCTGGCGGGAGAGGATGCTTAGGAGCGATCGTGTCCACAGCTCTGGTCATCTCCCCGTTCCACAGTTCGACCAGAGCCTCGACAGGAGCACCAGTCTTGTCAGCCAGAAACTCCCCCAGGGCCTTCAGGAATCCATCCAGATCCATCCGGCTCTGGGGGTGGACCCACACAATCGGATCCGCACCCTTACAGAGGGAGAGGTCGCTCTCGAGCACAAACCTCACCAGGAAGTGATCTGACCATGACAGGGGTGTCAGGCATAAATTCCTCACCCTCAGACCACCCTCTTCCTGCCCCGTCGAGAAAACCAGGTCCAGAGTGTGTCCAAGTTCATGGGTTGGGACAATGACATATTGAGACAGCCCCATGGCCGTTGTGGAGGTCATGAAGTCCTGAGCCGCCCCGGTCAGACCAGTCTCGGCATGGAGATTGAAGTCCTCCAGGACCAACATCCTGGGGGTCCTCAACGCCAGGTCCGAGACGGTCTCCGTCAGCTCAGGCAGGGAGACTGTTGGGCAGAAGGGTGCACGGTACACCAACAGAATCCCCAATCTGTCTCA